CTCAGCATCAGCCAAAGCATCAGCTTCCTGGTAAGGAAATATTGGTTTTAAGGATACGTTTTTTAAGGAATATTGAGGTGCTTGCCTTCATAGTTTAATAGTCCTGGATAGCAATTTTGAAGTTAAAAAATTGGGTTATGTTCCAAGAGAATAACATATAATATAGAATAAATTATATTTATTTGTTTTTGGAAAATCCTGTTTTGAAAGCTACAACAGAATAAAATTTTCTATCTACAAGAAGTCCCAAGTAATTATATATTTGGGCAAGGAACAAAATCCAATATTATTCCAGAATATCAAACATTAGAACTAAGTACCTAATTTTGGGTTTAATCATAGAAATATCTCCCAAAGTGTGACATGTTGAGTATGCCCAGACACATAAACACCAAAGTCACAGTTATGCTCCCATCATCCCTGTATTTCTTTTTTCACCCTATTGTCTTTTTAGACCAACTATTTCTGATATAGATTTTCAACACCAAGGCCCAAAAACAGTCAACCTGTAGAAGCTCTGCCTTTTCTCTTTGAGGCCTTTATCAGCTAAGAAAAAGAGCTGCTGGAAAAATGTCTGCAGGCTTTTTTTGCAACAAATGTCCAGTGGTATTTCTTATATTTTGCCTCAAGTTTCATTCTGGTACAAATATGAAATAAAAAAAATTATATAAAATAATTCTAGTTATATAACACAATGTTGAAATTTTTTTACAGTTCAAGGTTCTCTAAGAATTGGGGCATGCCTGTTTTCCTATATTGTCCCATATGCTGCATAACACTAATTTAAGGATAGTTATTTCCATTGTGTGATTGAAGTAATTTAGAAACCACAGCATTGCAACACCACAGATGTGCCACTTAATTTTATGTAGTGGTTCTCTGGGTGATTTAGAAGGGCAAGTGAGAATATTTAATTCTGTTTTCTCTCAGTTAGTTCAGAACCACAGCATAGAAATATCTGTATCAGCTAAGCCATCACCTACACCAGAAAGAAACAAGTGATATTGTTTAATTGGAGAAGGGAGGGAAGAAATGTCCTCTTAGTTCTGAGAATTTCTTATCATGTGCGCATAACGAAAAGCATACTCAGTTTTGGAGAGGTAGGAAAAAATTGCTAGAGGAACAAACATTATACTAATCAAAGTAGTTTCTTGATCACTCTGATGCAGTTTAACTCAATGTAAATAACAGAGACCTCAGCATACACCACAGAAAAGTCTCACTCATGCCTCACTATATCACTGTTCACTACAGCATCCTCACAGGCCTGAAGCTGGTCATTTTTCAAGAGCAGCATTTAGTGAAATACAATTGAATTGAATTGTAGTTTCTGTGAGTCTTTGGAAAATGTGTATATAAGTATCAGCCTGATAGTGACAGGTAGTTCACTTGAGGCACACTGGTAGTACTCACAGCTTGCACTTGGAGCTGCAGATCATTTTTCTCCTGCACCAGTTTCACCATTTTCTCCTCCAGCTCCTTCCTCTTGGCCTCAGACTTTGCAAGCTCCTCCTTGGTTTTCTCAAACTCTTGTTTCATGTTGGCCATCTCCTTCTCAGACTCTGCACTCTTCAGCAAGGGCTTGATCTTGAAGAACAGCTTCATCCAGGGCCAGTGCTTGACGTTCATGAACGCACGGATGTTGTACTGGATACAGAAGATGGATTCTCTGAAAAGTAAGTCAAATGTAATATTAAATATTTAGACCATGATGACACAATAAGCCAAATACAGTGAACCTAAATTGAAGAAATGTCTACCTCCTCTCCACCATTCTCTGGTACTCCACTCTCATCAGGAAGCCCCTGCACCTGGCCTGTGTGCGGGTGATGAGCTGTGCCAGCTTCTCATCCCTCATCTCCTCCAGGAGGCCTATCAGCCCAGCTTTGAAGAACACCTAGGGTAAGAACAGGTAAATAAGTGCAGTGTATGTGCTTGTTGTTCAGAATAGCCCAATACCCTGTCCCCATGGCAGATAGTATGGGAAGACAGGAGAAAAAGCAGAAGCACAAAGAATGTGTGTAGTGTTAGACCTCCTTTTATATCTCCAAGCATCCAGTTACCTGTAGTTGAGGAACCATAATAGCCAGACATTTTGACTTTGTTTTTATTAACTGTTGATTCTTTTATTATACAACTGTGTCTTAAATTAGGAACCTTTAGTTAAATCATCCTACATCAATGAATTTTAGTTTTATTCAAGTTTTGAGTCAGTAAGTACTTAGTTGATTTGTTTTAAATACACTATTTGATAATTTCAGGTACTATCAAGAGAACCTGAGTATCATTCTCAAGCCATGCAAAGCAAAAACACATAGGACTTGAAACAAACAGTTCTTGTACCTTAGTGTGACCAAATTTGTATTGAGTGTGGTCTATATCAATTGATCCAAGAAGTTTCTCACAAGCCTTCTTACTGTCAATGAACTGTCCCTCTGGGATAGCACTTGCATTTAATACTTTGTATCTGGGGGAGAAAATGGAAGGATTTGCATTGGACTCAATGATCTTAAGGGTCTTTTCCCACCTAAATGCTTCTGTGGTTCTTGAATATAAAGAAGTCTGTTGTTGAGACCAACTAGCTGGTACTGCAAGCAGTCTGAGAACTGTTGAGAACATAACAGCACTACTAAACATAAACTTTAGAGAAGGCTTTCACTAGAGCTGATATTTAGGTCTCACAAGCTACTCCAATGGAGAAAAATGACCCAGTAAGAGAAAGAAGTCTGACCTCTGTTTAAAATCTGCATACAGGACTCTGTTGGGAAACCCTTTCCTGCAAATTCTGATTCCTTCCAGCACGCCATTACACCGCAGCTGATGAAGCACCAGTTCATGCTCCATGGCACCTGGCAATTCAGAGCACAAACATAAGCTATATTCTGTAATACAGACGCAAAGAACTGCACCATATTGAAAACCTTCTGTATGTGAGTCTTACCAGGTGTTTTGGTTTCATTTGGAATGATGCAGCGTACAAAATGTGGGTGGGTGCTTCGTAGATTGGTCATCAGCTTGTTTAAATTCTCCTGAGAGAGTCATTAACAAAGGTATATATTAGCAAATGTAACTTCCCTATAAACATCAAGCCTTCTGAAACAAGAAAATGAGATATCAGACCAAAATTAGCTTGCAGAATCCTGAAGTCCCCTAGACCAGTTTCAGACTTTCCATAGATCTTTGCTGTTATTAACTTAATGTATAAAGCTTTTCTGCTTAATCTGTAAGAGATATCATACTCTTAAACATACAGTTTTAATACATGTGGAATGCCTTCATTAGAAATTATATCTATCTTCCATTGGATGTATCCAGAGACATAAACTGGTACATCTATGAGGCAACTTGAAGCATAATTTCCAGTCAAGTATCTGAGATCTTAGAAATCCACAACCAAAGTAGTGGTGCTATTTCAACTATAAGAGATTGATCCCTGAATCTTGGAGAAGAACTAGAGATATAAATGGAGGAAACAGGTCATCCTCCAAACCAGTGGGCAGAATGTTGTTAAAAGAGCAATAAAAGCTTCCAAAGCCAGAAACGGGCACGTAAAGGAAATCTGTTATATTTTAGATGACATTCTTCCATCTGGAAACGTCATCCTGAGACAAGGGAACAACAAGAAAAGTTGTGCATTCAGTGGAATGGAGCACAAATAGATTACAGAGGTTTTATTCCTACCAAAATACAGCCCAAGAACTTCAGGAGCATTTAACACAACTAAGCCAAGTAAAGACCAGCCATTCTGAATGGTGGGTTTACTCCTTAGCTAAAGAAGAAATAATGAACTCTCTACCGTACCCGGAAAAGAGCTGAGACAGTCTGGAAGGAAGAGCCCTTCTTCTTGGCACCTTTCTTGCTAGCACTAGCATCTGCAAAATTGAAAACAAAACAGGGTTTAGATTTTTACTTCTGGCTTTTTGTAAGCTGTACATCAGTTTAAATGTGGTATTCATAGAACAAACCTGCTTCTGCTCCACCATAGTTGGCAAAGAGTAAGGCCAGGGTCTTCAGAGATGATTTCTGGTACAACCCAATGACAGTTTCATTCAGAGGGTCCTTGTTCTTCTCCAGCCAGCCAGTGATGTTGTAGTCCACTGTGCCAGCATAGTGCACCAGGGAGAAGTGGGCCTCAGCCTTGCCTTTGGTAGGCTTGGGCTTCTGGAAGTTGCTGGATTTACCCAGATGTTGGTCATAGAGCTTGTTCTTGAAAGAGGTGTCAGTTGCCTTGGGGAACATGCACTCCTCTTCCAGGATGGAGAAGATGCCCATGGGCTGGAAAAAAATGCATCAGGGAGACAAATTTTAGTTCAGTTTTCAGGGCAGTAATGACCTTCACCTGGGCAGAGCACCAGAACGGAGGCTAGGATACATATCAGAAAATGAGAGCCATTCTACCTTTAAGCAGATCAACACTCCCACCCAGCCCCTTTGAGAAGTAAGGCCAATTTTATAATTCCCATGCATGTAACACATTTGAACAGGAAGCCACCTTCTCAATGAGCTCAATGCAGGCAGCCAGGTCCATCCCAAAGTCAATGAATGTCCATTCAATTCCTTCTTTCTTGTACTCCTCCTGCTCCAGCACGAACATGTGGTGGTTGAAGAACTGTTGCAGTTTCTCATTGGTGAAGTTGATGCACAGCTGCTCAAAGCTGTTGAACTGGAAGTTAAAAAAAAAAGACCCACGTTTGCTATACGCAGCAATATTTGCAAAACCTTATTGTTTAAAAATAAGGAATGCAATTATGTTTGCTTTATTGTCAAGTCTGTGCATTTCTTCAGACTATTCTATGTAATGAAACTGACAAAAGCATCAGATTAATTTTCCAGAAGGATTTTTCCATTGAGAAGATAAATTTTCATGCATAATTTGAGAACAAATTACAGGGAGAAAAAACCCAAGTTCACGTCTATCATAATATATGTTTTACACTGGCTGGTCCTAGATCATTTAAAGCAAGGAATTCTTCTGATCGGGCCATTCTGTACTTCTGAGTTTGCACTTCTTGAAATAAGACAAGTGTCTTGAAAGGTCATTTTTTACTTCAAGACAAAAAAAAAAAAGGCAAATAGCTGTAAATAATGATGTGGTATCTTTACATCTTATTTAAATATGTCTCAGAGTGACGATAACATCCAGCTGTGACTTCCAAATAGCTCTTACCAAATCCTTGTTACTTACATCAAAGATCTCAAAGCCAGCAATGTCCAGGACACCAATGAAGTACTGTCTGGGCTGCTTGGTATCCAGCTGTTGGTTGATACGAACAACCATCCACAGGAACATCCTCTCATAGAGAGCCTTTGCCAGAGCACCCACTGAATTATGCACCTACGAGAAAAATAAATGCCCAGAGTTACTAATAGAGCAGAGGAGAATCAAAAGGATTTTAATACAAAATGTAGTTCCAGGTTACTACACGGTTCCTACCTGCTGTGCAGTTTGACCTTTGGTGACATATTCATTCCCCACCTTGACTCGGGGGTAGCAGAGAGCCTTGAGCATGTCAGCTGAGTTCAAACCCATCAGGTAGGCAGCCTTGTCAGCCACTAAAAGAACAGAGGAAAAAGGAAGAATTGAGTGTCACAAATATAGGCTTTGAATCTTGGAGTCTTCTCAAAAGGCTGCAGGGGTTCAGACTTCTGTTCTTTGAAATCTTTTGATAGACTCTTATAGAGGCAATCTTGGTCAAAGTCATCATTATGCATATTAGCTTTTTCTAAAAGAAATGATGTTTTAAAATCTTCACTGAAACATGTAGAAACTACTCATGTTTTTAAAAAAATTTCTGGCCCAAAAATGAAAGCTGAGGTTTGCAGGTCTGAACATTAGTAGTACATGCATAGCTCAGGAGCTGCAGTGACAACAGTTGGGCACAGATCTACATTTGGTTGATCAAACCACCAAATATTTAGGGTGGAACACACAGACAGTATCTCTGTTCTCTTTCAGATCCAGTGTCTACAACCCTTTCTGAGCTTTCATTTCTGATGTTCAGTAGAACTCTCAGGGTTTCATCCTTTTACCTATGGTACTTCCCACCTTTTGCCTAGTCCTTTAGCAAGAGGAGCCTGAATGTGTTTTAAATTCTTATAGATACAGTGCTTGAGGGCATGGTTTACCAGTGGGATGGTAAAGCTACATTAGTAATGTTAGGTTAAAGGTTGGACTGGATGATCCTACAGGTCTTTTCCAACCTGAAAAATTCTATGATTCTACAAATCAAATACACCTCTCACACCAGAGTTCCCTGAGCATCTGACAGGTAAAGGTGAATGGGAACACATTCCCCATTCTGTAAGAGCTGAACCATTTAGCCATTTCACAATTGCAAGCCATACTCCAAAGGTATGGCTTATGTTGTCATAAGAAGTACATCCCCTGCCCCTGACTTCCTGGAAGTGTATACAGGACAGTTTATAATATTGTCTGTAGCATAAGATAAACAAGTCATAAGATCAGGGAACTTGATATACCAAAAAGAGGACAAGGGAAAATTCTTTTCTGACTTACTGTTTTCCTTGGGATCCTAAAGTCTATCAAAGCAGAATTTGCTATTTTTCACATCCATAGTGGCTTACAGAAGCTTTAATTGTTGAGTTTGATGATACCTTCAGTGCCATCAGGCTCTGCCTGCTCCTCTCTTGGTTTCTGCTTGAACTTCAGGTTGCCATAGTGCATGACAGCCCCTGTCAGCTTGTAGATGGCTGTCTTTTCCTCAGCAGTGAAGCCCAGGATGTCAATGGCACTCTGGCAACAGAAACAGTAAAGTGAAATTTTTGCATGTTATTTGTGCCTGTTGACCTTCTTTGGTTAAGTTGCTTACATCTGTAGCCATCAGCTCCTCCTTGTCATCAATGCTGGGAACAGTGATCTCTCCTTGACTCACAAAAGGGTAGTCATATGGGTTGGTGGTGATGAGGAGCATCTCTGAAAAGAAATGTATTCAGGGGTTAAATTTCATTCTTTTTGTAATATAGTTAAATGTTGCTTAGTGATCCTCCTCCAAAAACCTCAATGATCCTTCCTACCAATTAGCTCAGGCTTCTTGTTGGAAGTGATCTGATAAAAGATGTGGTAGCTTCTTTCTGCCTTGAGCTGGAAAGTGACTCTGGACTTCTCCAGCAGATCTGGCAAGGAAGGCAGGAAGAGTCAGGCACAAGGCCACACGTGGAGGTGGGAACTGGGGAAGGAATGGGATCAGGCCAGAGGAGCCTCTTACAGGTTTCAATGTCAGCAGAAGCCAGTTTGCCTGTAGCTCCAAAGTGGATTCTGATGAATTTGCCCTGTTCAGCAGAAGAAGCAGCATTTCAGCC